CCTGCCAGGTCCTGCTGTTAGGAACATAGGAACAGGAAAAGACTGTGCCAGTTTCTTCTGGAACAGCTTGGCTCAGAGTCCAAGGGAGGGAAACCTGAAACCAGATAAACAGGGAAGCAGACAAAGGTCTGAAACTGGCACCACTTGAGCCCTTCCCCGTCCACTGTGAGGGACAAAGGTGGAACCAATACTCTGGCCACCCACCATCTCGGCAGGTCCACCCATTTCAGTGACCCCATGGTTGGTCTGGGATGACCTTGGTGGAAGGATACTTACTCATGGTTATAATTCGTCTTCATGAACTAATGACAAGGTAATATTTAGTGGCCTCTTTCATTATACTTAGACTGAGGTAGGGAAACTAAGTCTTGGGAAGGCTAGAGCCTTGCCTAAGGTCCATACAGCAAGTTAGTGGCAGAACCTAGAAATGAACTGAGGTCTCCAGCTGCTCAGGGGTATTCAGTTAACTTGAAAATATCCAGTGTGTCATAGGACTTGAATGATCTCCCTTGCTAGCATATAGGTAAATCATTTATCAGGCACTAAACCTGTACAACAACCCAGTTAAATAAGAGCCTCTGTGTTTACAAACAAAGGCCCTGGAGAATTCATCCAGGGTTGAATAACTTGGTAATGGCAAAGTCAGGGCCAAATCCAGGATTTGCTAGTATCAAAGCTCTTTCTCACTCACTCTCGTTATGAGCAGAAGGAGCCCTGAGCTGGGAGGCAGGAAGTTGGCATTTATCCTAGACTTGTTCTGTCTCAGTTTGTCTGTCAGGGAAGTGGCCTCAAAGGCCCCTTGTATCTGTCCATTTGCGCTGACTCAGGGCCAGGAGGGCTAGGTGTGTGAGAGATACTAGAGGACCTCTCATGAAGCTATCCCCCTGCCTTGCCTGGGCAGTTTGCTTTTAGGGACGACATGCCACTGGTGCGGCTGCAGGTGGCAGATGAGTGGGTACGGCCCGAACAGGCTGTGGCAAGATACCGCATGGAAACAGTGTTTGCCCGCAGTTCCTGGGACTGGATTGGCCTGTACCGGGTAAGAGGGCTAGGAGTGATTGGTGACTTGGGAAGGAAAGGGGACTGGAGGAACAGCTGGACACTATGGTGGAGTCACTGGCTTGTCCAGATTTTGATGCCTCATCCAGAGGCTGCTGGGATAAGGCATTAGGGGGTCACAATGATGATTCCTCTCACTCCAGGTAGGATTCCGCCACTGCAAGGACTACGTGGCTTACGTCTGGGCCAAACACGAAGATGTAGATGGGAGTATCTACCAGGTATTTAAAAGGAGGGAGAGAGTCAGAAGAAGTCCCTATTGCCCCTAGGATCTCAGAGCTTGACATGGGGGCCCTGACGTAGCCTCCCTGACTCCAACATTGGCCCGGCCCACCAGGTAACCTTCAGTGAAGAATCACTGCCCAAGGGCCATGGAGACTTTATCCTGGGCTATTACAGCCACAACCACAGCATTCTTATTGGTGTCACTGAACCCTTCCAGGTAAGTAGGCCAGACTTCAGGGTCTGCAGGGGATGCTTCGAAAAGCTTTGTTCAAAAGCCACAGCCTCTGCATTCTGCTTGGTTCCAAGAGGCCTCAGTGGCTGGGTTTGGGAAGTGGGGTGCTCCAGTGACCAGCATTCCCCCCAGATCTCACTGCCTACCTCGGAGTTGGCCAGCAGCAGCACAGACAGCTCGAGCACCAGCTCAGAGGGTGAGGATGACAGCACTCTGGAGCTGCTTGCACCCAAGTCCCGCAGCCCCAGTCCTGGAAAGTCCAAGCGACACCGTAGCCGCAGCCCGGGCCTGGCCCGATTCCCCAGTCTTGCCCTACGGCCCTCATCTCGTGAACGCCGCGGTGCCAGTCGTAGCCCCTCACCCCAGAGCCGGCACTTACCCCGGGTGGCTCCTGACAGCAGCCGGGGCAGTAGTGAGGAGGGGCCCCCTGGGCTGCCTGGGCCCTGGGCCTTCCCACCAGCTGTGCCTCGAAGCCTGGGTCTGCTGCCTGCCTTGCGCCTGGAGACTGTAGACCCTGGTGGTGGCACCTGCTGGAGACCTAATCAGGAGGCTGTGGCCACTGACAGCCTATCTCCCAGCCCCCAGGGCTGTCAGGGGATGCAAGAAGGGGGCCTAGGGCCTTGAAGGCAGGCTGGGCAGATGGGTCCATATGGGTCCCCACTCTGCCTCAATCTTTCGCAAACCCACCTGCCTCCCTCCTGCTGCTACTCCAGCTGTATCTGCACCTACCACTTTGTCCTGGTCAGGGGTGGCCAACTAGGGTCCCCCCAAACTCAATCCTGGCACCTCATAACTGTGACAATCAGCAAAGCTCTGCCTGGGCCCCTATCTGGGATGGCGTCTCAATCTTGGAGGTCATCCCTTAGGAATTAAATTCTCCAGCCTCACCACTGGCTCCTTCCTAACTTGTAAGCAGGCTGGGGATGGGAGTAATCAGAGGCAGGGACTAAAGAGGTGAAGGAACAACAGATTGACATCATCAGGTACCAGCTGACGTGCCATCTCCTTTAATTTGCACCACACAACCCTATGGGGGCAGTGCTATGTTTAGACCCATTTCACAGATGTGAGCAAACTGAGGCCCCTAATAGGGTTACATCAGTCTCTCAAGATCAGACACCAAAGCACAGTTTGGCTCTATATTGAAGGGAGAGAACACTTACTAGTTGCTAAGCACCATATATGTATTGCTTTACTTAATCTTCAATAACCCTATGAGGTAGCT